GTACAGAGACGTCGAGGTGAATACGAGAGATATCACTGATATGCATGATGGGGGGACTTTGGGCTCAGAACTTCGTTTACTTAAGTACACGTCTCTCGCGTGCCGGCGCACGCCACTAGGACGTCGAACTGTACCAACCGTTCGTCGCCGACTTATTCGTCGGATGGTAAATGTGGAAACCTGCACCTGCGGCCGGGTGATGGTAAAATTGTGCTTGCTCGCTTAGCCCGGCCGAGGCATACGCCGCTGCAGCGTCCAACGCGCTCGGGTGAACCGCGGCTGAGTACACTTGTGGCTTTAAAGGTAACGGTTGCGCCGGCTCGTACTGGTGACGTAACACGGGATCGGTATATGCGGAAGAGCCCTCGTAGCTGCTGATCACGTTCACAGGGTGTAGCTGTTGTTGTTGCTGTTGTTGCTGTTTATCCCTCGGCGAGACGGACGACGGTGGGGTCATCGCTGAATGGTAGTCTACCGTGTAACCAGTAGCGGTGGAATAAGAGGAGACCAGACTGGTGAACGCTTCTGCACAGCTGGTACCAGAGGAACCTTTCTGATTGTGCGTGGCTAATACAAACTGGTGTTCACCGTATGTGCTCGATCCTTCAGAGCCAGGTGGAGTAGGTAAAGGACCACTTGGTGTGGTGTCACCCGCGTAATAGGTTCCGCCGGAAGAGGAAGTTCTCGTGCTACCACTGGACGTGATTCCGTGAACGTTCGCGCGTATCACGCTCTCCCTGTTGGCGTACAATTGTCTCAAGAGAGCAGACGCTGGCAACGGAGCAGTGGTCGACTGTTGTGGACTAAGATGTCCAAGATGATGATGTGCTCCGATCCACTGTATCGTACTCCTCTGTTGTTGCTGTTTGAGCAACGCGTCCGTGCTGAAATCCGTGGGCTGATGAAGCGTAGGTGAATGCGATTTATTGAGATTCTGCCCTGGCAGATGCTTGGACATAGCCTGTTCTAGATCTTTCACGGAGGTGCCGGTACTGTCGGCGTTGCTCGTTCGATCTTCGACACGCCGCGATTTCGGACTGGTCGAGCACAGTACTTGCTCACCTCCTGAAATGGAATGGTTTGATGGAGCTGGACTTAGAGCGTGGCTTCTCTCGTTATTCGTGACTTTCACCGTTGAGTCGTCCTCCTCGTCCTCCTCCTCGTTCGAGCTGCTATCGTCCTCGTGCAGCTTCCGTTTGTGACCGCGTAATTTCACTACCAGCGTGCTTATGTTCCCTACCGTCGTCTGCGGTTCTTGCTGAAGCTGTGCTATGTTGTCGTGGTGTCTACTCCCTCGTTTCTCGTTCTCCGAGCCACGAGTATCTTCGCGATCTTCAGGCGGTGACCTGTGAGGATGCTCTTGGTGTTGATTCGACGGTCCGCCGTGATTTCTTCCCTCTGCAACCCGTCACAATGAGATTTTAACGGGAAGACACTTTCAGGTTATTTGACGAGGGTGAAGTAGCTACATTTGGTCATTATTTTTTTTTTTTTTTACAGAGGAATTATGAAGGTAGAAGTATATAGATTTTAGCTAAGTGTGTTAAGCTCAGGTAGTTTGCGAATGAAATAAAGTATTGGATGCGATTGGAAGGGTTTTGGAGTCTGTACCTCCTCTGTCAGCATCAGGGGAACCATTTTCTGGATCATTTCCAGCAGCGTCCTCGCGTTTCACACCCATAACACCCTCTTCCAGTTGACAGCAGTCCATGATTAAATTTTCGTACTCTCGACCACTGGAATGGTAGAAGTAACGAGGTGTTTTTTTTTTTTTCACGTTTCATAATTTTTACTCGAATCTGTCGTACAGTCACGACGTGGAATTTACCTTATGACATAATTCACACAGATGATATTCTGCTCCTCGGCGTTTTTCGAATTGCACACCACGGTGGCACACGTTTGCAGCCACGTGTATCCTCCGCTTTTGTTCATCAGCCTATAATAATGCGTCAATACCTGTCCTTTGTGAATCACTAAAACATACGAAATAATCTCGATGAAGATCAATTCTTCATAAACACACGAAAGTTCACGCGAAGCAGAAACTTACGATCGATGTGAGACTTTCGAAGACGATTCGCGTCTTCACCATGGCACAACGTGTAAAGATTCTTCCCCGTTAATTCGTCGGCTGTATAATCTAACAATTCGGACACCCTGTAAATTGATATAAAAATAAAACATTACGTTATCCCAAATATTCAAATATTCGGAAATTGTCGAATAGAAAATTTGTTAAAAAGTCTAAATACTTGGAGATATTAGAGTAGCTTTCATAATTAACTATCGATAGCTGAGGATCCTCACCTTGGTTCACAATGTGCTATCCGAAAGTCGAAGTTGATTCGTGTGACGAACATGTCGGATTCGAGGCGAATTTCGTGCACACTCGGCGGAGGAAGTGCGATCGCCAAGCCAACCATGCCTATCAACGGTGGCGCGGACTTTCTTGTATGGCTAAACGTATACTGCGGTCTCAAACGGCACAGTAACAACACGACCTGAATTCGTAATCTTTAATTAACACCTGCGCTTTCGTTAATTGAACGGGATTGATTCACGAAAACTCTAAAGCAACGACGTTCACAATTCATGGATTTCTATTGGAAGTAGCTCAAGTTGCTATAATGACGTTTCTCGTTAAATCAAACTTAAATTTAACTATTTTTCAAAATTTAGACGTCTTTGGAATTAAAAGATTTTCAGACAAAATAATATAATATAATAATTTAAAAAAAGAACAGAATGCTTACCCTATAACCAGAAGATTTAAAATGGCATCCCCTTTTCGTTAAGGTGGATTTCATCCGGACGCAGAACGCTCGGTCGTATCCTTTGTATAAACTATTTGATGTTAACGACATCACCGAGGACACTATAATTAAATTAAACACAATGCATAAATTTTTATTCAGTTTATTAAAAATGTGACGAATTTTTTGTCTATACTATATACAGCATAGAACGTCTGTCTGTATGTTCCCTGTTAACTCCTATTTGATCGATCCGAACTACATTCTGCATAGTGACTAAGACCTTGCGAAAAATATTTGCAACTACCTGTTAAATCTGTACACTCCGTCCTCTTTCCCCGATTTCACTCTCCCGACGCTTAAAATATTGTAAAGCATTGGAATAAATAAATTAACCATGTCGCAATAATAAATGTACACATGCGTATGTCCTTAGTATAGCAAAAGAAAGTGATACATTATGTAAATTTGCAAATGATATAACACTGCCAATATAATTTCATTATTGGGTACTTTCAACTAAAAATAAAAAATTACTCTCTCTTCAAAATTTCCTAAAACAAAAGACACTCTGAATTAAGAAAATACTGTTGTATAAAGAAATTAGTCTAACCTTCCAAAAAATGAAGGAACAACGAAACAGGAATTTTATCAAGCTTCGAAATGTTTTCGAAATAAAGTAATAAAGTCATATTCAAACAAAGAGTAGACACGTCTGTCGTCACACGTCTTCGAGATTTCCATTCTACTATTCTATCTACAATGACAGATCTATTTGAGATTCTTTTACGGTTACTCGAAGTTTATCAACGAACAATCTGAACGCGAATGATCTCATCGCAACTCGTTCAGCCGACAAGAGAGACACGTCGTTTAAATGAAATGTCATTGTAGACACTCACCGTCGGGATTCGCTGTAGAAGTTGAACCGTGTTCTTCGGACGCAGCGCTACTAGGCGACGCTAATCCAGAGCTGGACGAGTGTGGACCGGAAGAGCTGCTCGAAGTCAGCCCAAGGCCTAATTGTTCCGCGACTTCCACGTGGTCTTGCTGATGAACGTAATCGAAAACGCTTGACCCCGTCATTTCTACCTGGAATTCAAGGATAATCATCTTCCTCACGTCTTGTGCGAATATTTCTTCGATCGCTGTATCACGTAAGTAACGTTGTATTTTTCGGAGAAAATAAAATTTAACTGGTTTTCAAGTTTAATCCAAAGTGTAATTTATTACTCCTACCCATTTTTATTTTTAATTTTCTTGCGACAGAATTTTTCTTGGTTTCGAGCTTCCTTTGGATATCTTCTGCGTTGAATCGGTTTGGTTTAAATAATTCTGAAGGAAATCATTACTTCTCGATCGAATCCTCTCGGTTTTAGCAATGAAAAATAATTCTCGCGATAAGAAGTAATTTTTAATCGTTAATTCTCAGTTAAGAGTATTTTTCAGCAAGACCTTCTTCAGAGATACTTGCTGTATCGTTAATTGTCCTGCAACGCATTTCTCAGCAGTATCTCTTAGCAACACTTTCTAGAATATCGTAGAGGCGATAAGAAGTAATTTTTAATCGTTAATTCTCAGTTAAGAGTATTTTTCAGCAAGACCTTCTTTAGAGATACTTGCTGTATCGTTAATTGTCCTGCAACGCATTTCTCAGCAGTATCTCTTAGCAACACTTTCTAGAATATCGTAGAATTGATTCGATACGGAAAGGTGTCGTTTGATTCTCGCAGAAGAATTCGAAGTATCGTACGAATGCGGCTTCGGCGGGGAGAACGTGTTTAAATATCGCAATTTCCCTGACAAGTTGCAGAAAGGTGACTTAATTAGAGGAAAAGCTGCAGTAGTGAACAGCTTTCCCGTGGTGACTTCACTGCAGGGAAACTCTGCGGGTCTTAATATGATAGATTCCACGAAAAACTGCTTCGACGTGACTAAAAACTGTGTTCTCTCCTTCGATGAAAAAGGCTGCAGTTTTTCTGTATCAGTTCTCGCATTAATTTTCTATCGAAGATCGAAGGATTTTACAGATCCTCGATATTTGTAATAATAAACTGGGTAAATGGAACGAATTCTGAAGTCTGATAAAATTGACACGTCTAGTATATCTGTACGGTCCCCGAAACTTTTCTCAATGGGATTGAATTGAAAGAAGTTCTTTATTGGGGTGACCCTTGTCCTTTTCCTATGGTTTCAGAATGTTAACAACGCTTCGAAGAAACATAATACTTTCGTTCCGTTGTTAAATATTGTAAACTATGTTTGTGGAAAATAATTGACGATTACTTTAACGATTTTTGCATTAAAAATTTAAGTAACTTCGTTCTTTTTAGATGAATCGTAGCGTACAAGCGGCACAAGGCATCTTTGAGGCTAAAAATTTATTATTGAAACTTTATAGAGCAGTGGGAACAGACTATCAATAAACGTAGACAATAATGGAGAATAAAAGAATGTTGTCACTTTAGAATAACAACGTTCCCACTGTTTAGTTGTATTTTAATAGTAGAATCTTTCTGCCTAAAGGATTCATTAATGAAAAAAATATTTTCGTTGTATTTATAGTCAATATCTACCAAGATGCTGTTTCACATGTAAGTATTAACATTTTTAACACACTCTCCCCTCATCCCATACAATTATCCAGGTACACACGCAGAATCCAGACACGTCGATTCACCTTTCAATCCCAAGATTCTCGGGGCTTACTCAAAGACAAAGCACGTAAGAGTATGTAAATCCCGCGAAGTAGATTACTAGCTCAGAGGGGCACGGTTTCTCGATGGTTTGGGGGGTGGCTGTCGACAAATATAGAGAGACAGAGAGCTAGAGAGTCAATTTCATCTGGCTGGGAAACTTTAATTTCAATCGAACTTCCCGACAGAATAATAATAATACTGAAACCAATACCCTGGTAACCAGAAAGAGACC